AAAAAATATATATATATATATTATATAAATTACGAGTTTGTATTGCTCACCACCACTTCTTCCCTGGATTCGGCTACCATCAAACGGTACATGGTTAACAGTCTACCGATTTATTGAGACTGACCTATGAACGCACACAATGTTTACGGAAACCATTGGAAAACGTCGAAGATTAAGATCATGGCAGCATTTTTCTATGATGGACGACGATGGTGACGTGAAGCGCTACAGAAGCCGCAGCCGAGTGGAATCGGCTATAAACCTTGACATTTATGGTGGTTACAGAAATCTGCGTGTCGAACGTTATGTTACAGTTATTATTATGTTTTCTGATACGGCTTTTCAGCATGGACCATTAAACGTGCACGTCGAATATATCGTCCGTTCCCATCCGTTGGATAATATATACACATCGTATATAATATGACGTGTCAGGGGCATGCGTTTAAACTACGTAAAAATTACAGTGGATTAGAATGAAAGCGTGATTAATCAAGACGAATTGAGAACGGAGGGAAGTCGAACGTTGGAGTTCGATCATCGTGCGCGATGTAGAAGAAATACATCAAGTCGTTGCGGACGTATTGAGAGCGGGTTAGTATAATATATACCTACTATACGTTGGATGTTTAAGAAAAACGATAGATAACTGTATCTCAAAGGGGTACGGTTATAATAATATATATTCCTTCATATAAACAACCAATTGAATGTCAAGATTGCACAACACCAGTATTTCAGGAACGGCTGTATATCATGTATGTATTTCAATTTGAAGTAGAAAAACGTGGAGAAGAAAATAATAAAGGTCGACTTGCTCACGGTGCGCGCGTCAAACAAAAAGGAATTCGAAAAACACTTTTGACCGATATGGTTTAATATAAAACTGGAGTTCGGTAAAAAGAAATTGCGCAAGTGACGTATACATTGTAATAAAATAATCCCGAACAAAATCATCATATTTAAATATATACACGATAATTATTTGCGTGCCGACGTTACAAATTCTAAATTGGACGAGGTGCGCAGTTATATTCTAACAACTTTCAACGTTTTAGCATTGTCGATACGACGTTTGTTCGCGTAATGAGAAAATAAATAGCAACGATTGTGAAATAATGACAATCACTGCACATATAGGTTATACTAGTATATTAACCGATGAAAATAGTCGAAAATCGAAAAAGAAAACCATGTGTTGTTTTCGCATTTAAATTTTCAACCTTTAGCACGACCGATTCACGTATACTAATCGATTTTAAAACATAAATATCCGCAATATGATATGTACGCATATTCGTATAGTTAGTATATACTTTGACCGTGGGTATTTGAACACGTGTGTGCAAGTTTGATTAAAAGTCGTTGTAAAAACATTGTTATTGTTTCATAAAAGGGCTGAATATTTTATCGCGATTATAATAGAATCTATTGTGAACATAATTCTATTAACCTCGCTGTGAAAAAAAATTCTTAAGCGTATTATCATAATGTAAAATATATATAATTATTTAACACACGATTTTGTTGAAATTAAAATTAATACTTATTATTGAAATACTTAAAATTGAACTGCTTTTGTGATTCTTATAGTGGGATACTTTTGAACAGACTTTCGTTCATCGAACAATTCAAATAACTAAAAGGTTTTTTTTTTTTTTGATTTATAACTTGTTTAATGCGAAATTCTAAGAAAATAACCCATTGAATCAAATAATAATATTATGGTATATAAATGACACTCACAATATCTATTTTTCTTAATTACGTAACTACGTTTATGGTGGTTTTTAGTTTATTTTTTATGCAGGATCTAAGTATTATTTAAGACGTATACTTAATTAAAATATGAATATTATATTCAAATTTTAACGATTATAGTTATTAATATTCTTGACCGTAGGAAATTTAATGCATTTTAAATAAACCCTCAAGCTAAAAAATGTTAACTATAAATTATATATCCACTGCTAAGAATAGTTTTTATAACTTTTTTTCGTTCGCTGAGAGCTTAGTTTCATTCAAACTCTTCAAAAAACTTATCAACCATTTTTTTTTTTTATTAATTTTCATAAGACTCCCATCGACGTAAAATTTAATCAACTTGTTTTATATTTCCTCATAAATTATAACTAGTCAAAAAATTATGCCTTTCGTATTCAATAATATTCATTTGTAATTACTCGTGATAATAACAAAAATATTATTAAATTTATATTACAGTGAAACCTCCATTGACGGACACCTCCCAATAGCAGACATCTCTCAAGAGTGGACGTTCATTTGAGAACGGGGATATTTTCACTACTATTCAGTAATGAAATAATAGAAAAATCTCTGATTAGCCGACATTATTTTAATATTTATTTAATAATAATACATATTCACATTCATATGCAGTTTTGTAATAATTTAATTACGATAACAAACTTGTTATGGGACGATAAGATACAATATACAATATGAACGACTATGAGTGTTATGACAAAAGTATGTCAGTTGGTGACGGTTTTCGACGCGATGACGACGTTCAAACGAAAGCGGTTGTCACTTCACAAAATAATTGACATTTTAAATTACCGTAAAAACAACTCAAATATAGGAATTCGTTCATTCGCAGAAAAGTTTTAAGTTAGAAAGATGCAGATTGCAAATATTGTGTCTAATAGAGAATACATTTATACACCATGAGTTAAAAATGAAAATAAAGAATGTAAATTAACGAAATTAAGAAAATATGAAAGCAGTATGATGAATAAAGAACTTTTGATGTAGTTTAGTAAAATTAGGGGAAAATATTTGCCATTTTTTGGACCAACGATATAGGAAAAGGCTGTACAGATTGCTGATGTTCATGGATTAAATGACTTTAAAGCTTCAAACGGGTAGCTTGAAAAATATCGAAAAAGGGATAACATTTCGTATAAATCTATCAGCGGGGAATCTTCAACCGTTGATAAAAAAAACTTTTGGTGCCTAGAAGTAAAAATCACCAAACATAATCGATAAATATGAAGAGCAAGACATCTTCAATGCCGACGAAACTAGGCCTTATTTTCGAGTTCTACTCAATAAAACTATGGCATTTAAAAATGAAACGTGCAATGGTAGAAATTTAAAAACTACAAGTACTTAATTAAATAAATAATTATGATTAATAATAATTAATGATAATTTGTTAAAATATAAAAATGTAATAATTTAAAATAAATAACAAAATATGAATAATATTATACATACATCCATTCATAGCACATTATTTAATTTAACGTATACATGTATTTTTTTCTACAAATGAACACTTTATGAATTTCAAAAATGTATCTCCTCTTAATAACAGATAAAATTTTGGTGACCCAGCTTTTTAGCTATTTAGAGGTTTTACTGTATATAAAAAATCCAGTACAACTGATGACCATAAATAATATTCTTTTTTTATCTCTTTATAATGTTTTAAATTACCGGTCGTATACATATTATTAAAAACTATAATCTTCAACATAATAATATACTGGATAGCAGAAATAGTTTGATTTAATAGCTACTCGAATTATACATATCATATATATATATATATTATATGTATGTATAAACGTTCAGAAAGTTTAGTGAAAATAAGAATAGGTACAATGGACGTGAAACGCATGTACACGCTCACATATCATATTATATTATCATAATAACGGCTCGGGTTAAAATTCGAACGTAATAGATGAAGATGAATTATTTCGATATTTTATAGTACGATATTATTATGCATGCATACATCGGCGGAGTGGTTCACTTTATTATTCGATAAATAATGATAATAATAAACCCGTACACATCCATCATATGGCCACGTATACTTGCAGCCGTATTATTATAACGAAACAACTTTAATTTAAATACATTTAAAGCTTTGCCGTACGTGTCTGGATCCAAACAACCGCGCAATCATCCTCGTCCCACGAGTGTACACTTAAAATTCGAGTGAACTCTTTTTCTTTTCCTTTTCACCGCGTGGCTTACCAAGACTGTATACAAAGGATTTTCTATAGAACTTGGATAAAAATGCATACACGTATACTAATACCCCATAGCGCGCAAATATTGCATGTAAATTACTGAAACGCCCTAATGGATATTTATCGTTAACAACGAGTTAAGTACTCTACGCAGATATTAAATTCTTATCGATCGATTAAATTACGAGTACCATTAAATTCCTCTCTTTTTTACCATACGTACTATTTTTCTAACGAACGTTTTTAGCCAAAGAGGGAAAACCTGACAAATTATCATTTCTCACACACGCAGAAAAAATATAAATTTATTTAGAGCACGAGTATGTGCGAGTGTTTTTGTAGTGTTTCGTATACACATGTACGTGTACGTTTGTATATCAAACAATATACTATATTAGACTTAATATACAATGTAAGTACATGTGTCTAATGTAACTAAGCGTGAAATGTCTCTAACCTTAAGTTTCCCACCATTTCCTTTCGTTTTGACTTGTATTTATTTATTTATTTCGTATTGTTCTTTTACCCCCCTCCCAGCAAGTGTTAGCGCGTGCCAGTGTCCTGTACGATATGATTAATATAACACAATATTCAGCTTAAGTTTACGCGCACGCTTGTTGTGCGCGTTAGCTTTACCAACGGCAATTTGTCAACTTGACAGCTACCGTTCTAGTTAATTCCGCTGAAAAGCCGAGATAGTGTATGCACTGTGTTTTAAAATAATACAATAATACAATTATTATAATTATTATAATAATATTAATAATAATATTTATAATAATAATAATATAATAATAATAATAATAATAATCATAAGAATGATAATAAAAGTAAATGTTTATACGTTAGGCCTCTGCCATCATTATTTGTAGATAATGTACATAAAATTATAATATTTTGCTTATACTTATATGTATACAGATAGCGTGTGTGTGTCATATAAATCTATATTCTGTACATATAGTAATATGTATGCATATGTGTGTGTTTCAGGGGAAATTTACTACGAGACAAAGGCAATACAGAAGCAGCCGTGTCTAGTTACAAAAATGCAATCAAGTATCGACCATCTTTAGCAGGTAATGCATTTTTCATATAAATACAGTGAAACCTCTATAAGTCGAATTTTCGATAACTCGAAGGAATGCCTTGGTCCCAGCTTTACAATATGTATATGATATGCGTGAACAATTTTCTCGATAATTCGAATTTTGCTAATTCGAATTTTTTGATAAGTTGTAGTAATTATAGTTGAATTTTGACTTATAACTCAAATTTATATAATAATATATTTTTCATTCGCGTTCCGAACGTCATTCGATACACACGCGTATAATCTCTTCCTATGCTTTATTCACCTAACACGTCAAATATAAACATTTATTTTTCATTTTTACATGGTTAAAACGGAAAAAAATAACTCAAAAAGTTACTAATATTCTAAAGAAAATTCTTCTTAAATTACTAGTGTAAATAAAAAATAACTAATAATTATAATTAACCAGTTAATTAAAAATAACGTAAAAGTGTCCAAAACCAACGGGACGTCCCGGCTATCATCCGGCGGCCAAGTATCGACGACCAGTCAATGAGCCTTATCTTCTTCAGATAACGTTAACCGTAATATTATAATGAACTACAAAAGTCCATCCACTCCCAAAAAAAATAAAAACAATCAAACAACTTATTCCGATTTAAATAATCTTCCAAGCAACTCGCACGTGAATCATATACAGAGCGTGTCAAATGACGTTTTCAATTCTTCCGAAGAAATTAATGAAGACGGATTTGTAACTCCAAAATCAAAAAACACCTCTAAACGTAATTATTCCTCTTCCGATTCTCCAGACACCAAGAAAATGTTCATTACAGTCAACAGATTTGCCCCACTTACAACACGTAATAGTCAAAATGAATACAATTTTACAGAAAACGAAAATGACGCACATATAAATGACATAAACATTGAAGCCTCCGATGAAACAAAAATATCAAACAAAAACTTCCCCCTCCAATTATTGTCAAAGGTATACTAGATTTTGCTGGTTTTCGAAACAAGTTAATCAATTTAATCGGCCCGGAAAATTTCACATTTAAATCATCTACCAAAAATTTAAAAATCCAAACTACCAAACCTGAATTTTATCGCGAAACAATTCGTTACTTAAAAAAAAAAAAATGCACAATACCATACTTACCAATCACAAGATGACAAAACATATCGAATAGTTATTCGAAACCTTCACCCAACTATACCAACAGTGGAGATCGGAATCGCTGTTAAAGAAATTGGATTTTCGGTACGCCAAGTAACAAATGTTCTTCATAAAACAACGAAAATCAATCTTCCTATATTTTTTGTCGACCTTGAACCAGCGACAATTAATACTGATATATTCAGTGTAACTTCACTTCTCCATACTAAAGTAAAAATAGAAGAACCATACAAACGAACAGACATAATCCAATGCATGAATTGCCAAGACTATGGCCACTCAAGAAAATATTGCTCCTACACACCAAGGTATGTCCGTTGCGGCGAATAACATCCATCTACCCACTGTGTCAAAACCAAGGAATTGCCGGCCAAATGTGCTCTCTGTATGGGTAATCATCCAGCAAATTACAAGGGCTGTCAAGTATACAAAAATCTCCAACAACTTCGTAAGCCTACTTCAAATAAAAATAGTAATTATACAAATAAAAATACTGTAAAAAATGTTAATAATGATAATGTTAAAAATACCGATTGTGAAGCCACCCAACAGCCCACTACCAACACGTTCATACCCCAAAGACCAAACTATACATAGGCACAGGCTACCTCCCCTAATAACTCATCCCAAATACCAAATAATTCTATAAATGAAAATGTACTCTTTAATTTTCTCAATGAGTTTAAATCACTCATAAACCCACTACTATCTTTACTCACCACAGTTCTTAACAGTCTATTAAGTCAAAATGTCAAATAACTCATTTACTTCTCACTTTTTAGCCATCCTTATGTGGAATGCCAATGGATTAACAAATCATAGAAATGAACTTATATTAACACTAAATGAAAAAAAAATAGACTTAGCCTTAATCTCTGAAACACATTTTACTACAAATACTAAATTTTCAATACCTGGTTATAATATAATCACCTCAAACCATCCAGATTACACCTCCCACGCTGGTGCCGCAATTATTATAAAATCCTCATTACTATATACCACCTTTTCTAATATACAAGAAAACTATCTGCAAGCTGCCATTTTGTCAATTAAATTAAATCACATTCCAATTACTATTACTGCAACATACTGTCCACCCAAACACAAAATTACGCCACAACAGTACGAAAACTTTTTTAACTATTTAGGTCACTATTTTATAGTCGGTGGTGACCTAAATGCCAAAAACCAATCCTGGGGCTGCCACACGTCTAACCCAAAAAGACGTACTTTACTCCAAATAGTTAATCGAAAAAATTATACCATATTAGCTCCCCCCGATCCAACTTACTAGCCAACGTCTATAAATAAACGCCCAGATATCTTAAACTTATTTGTAGTAAATATCCCTACGAGATTAAAAAATGTCATAAATAACTATTTAGAACTATGCTTAGACCATACTTCAGTCCTTCTATCTCTAGATGCTCAACTTCCCCTACGGTCCCGACAAGCTAGCCTTACGGATGGTATTAAAGACTGGAATAAATTCCGCGAAATAATTGAAGAACAGAAAATCAACCTAAAAACCCTACTTAAGTGTCGAAACGAACTTGAAAACGCTGTTCAACAGTTTACGAATATAATCCAAACAGCTGCTTGGAGTTCCACTGTTAAAAAACCGTAGAAAGCCCAAAACTCTTTCCTACTTATGTCCGTGAACTCATAGCAAAAAAATGACGAGCTAGATCCCTTTGGCAACGCACCCGCCTCCCGTCTGATAAACAATCATTCAACAACCTTGCTTCTTCGCTCAAACGTATTTTAATACAACTAAGAAATGATAATTTCAGTTCTTGGGTCTCTTCACTTACATCACAAAATTGTTCTCTGTGGAGAGCAACTCGTAGTTGTTTGAAACAAAAAACCACAAATTCCCCCATAAAAAGATTAGATAATACTTGGTGCAAAACTGATGCAGAAAAGTGTGAACATTTTCGATCTCATTTGCTTCAAGTCTTCCAACCCCATAACATTGTCAATAATGTATTTGAAGTTCATATTGTGAACTCTCTTACTACCCCATTTCCACTTTATCTAGCACCGAAACCTATTTCGCCGAGTGAAATTCATTACTACTTAAAACTATTCCGCCCTAAAAAATCTCCCGGTTTGGACTTAATTACGTCAGAAGTAGCTCTGCAGCTACCCAAAAAAGCAATTATACACCTCACGCATATATTAAACGCAATCATAAGACTATCCCATTTTCCTCTTCAATGGAAAACCACTGTTATCATCCTAATTCTAAAACCAGGTAAAACTCCTGATACTCCGTGTTCATATCGACCGATAAGTCTCCTACCTCTCTTCGGTAAACTTTGTGAAAAGTTAGTATTAAAACGGATTTCTCCTTTTATAAATAACGTATCAGTTATACCACAAACTCAATTTGGTTTTCGTGAACGACACTCAACTATTCACCAAATACACAGACTGACTGACTGCATATCTAGTTCCTTAGAAAAAAAAGAATATTGCACAACAGTCCTCCTTGATATAGCCCAGGCATTCAACAAAGTGTGGCATCCTGGTCTGTTGTATAAATTAAAAAAAAATTTACCTCTACCTAACTACCTATTTTACAAATCTTATCTTGAAGACCGTTATTTTGTGACCAAAATTGGATCAGAAATGTCGTCCTTAGCCCGAATATCTGCAGGGGTCCCACAAGGAGCCGTTTCATCTCCTACCCTTTACAACCTGTACTCAGCTGATCAACCGACAACCCCTTACACCTCAGTTGCAGATTTTGCCGATGACAAAATTATTTATTCCACACACAAAGATCCAATAATTGCTGGCATGAATCTACAAAACCACCTAGACCTAATGTCTTCTTGGTACGACAAGTGGAAAATAAAAATAAATCACGAAAAATCTACCCATCTAACTTTTACATTAAAACATGTTACTGTACCACCTATACATTTAAACAACCAAAATATTCCAAAATCCTCGAGCTCTCGTTATTTGGGCTTATTTCTAGATCAACGATTAACTTGGGCAGACCACATAAAAAAGAAAAAAATCCTCTTAAACTCTAGACGAAAATCGCTACAATTCTTACTCGGTAAACATTCTAAACTTAATATAAAAACAAAATTACTCCTATATAAAACTTTATTAACGCCCATTTGGACATACGGGATCCAATTATGGGGCGCAGCCAAAAAATCAAACACAAACAAAATTCAAATTTTCCAATCCACAACACTCCGTTTAATCACAAATGCCCCATTTTACGTTTCTAATCACACCCTCCATACAGATTTAAAAATGAATACGATAGAAGAAACTGCCAAAATCTTTTATAAACGTTTCCGCTCCCGACTGTCAAACCACTCCAATCCACTCATCTCTGCTCTAGATTCCGACACCATTCCTGGTAACCCTCTTCGTCGACTGAAGAGAAAATGGTGTAGAGACTTAAATATCAATTAGCTAAATATATAAAGGTAAATTTAAATTCAACCTAATCATGTCATAAAGTGTCGCCATTGAGTGGCTGCTTTTATCATGTTATGTCAAGCTATACTACATATTACCGCATGTATACTTATTGTAATAATTTATTTACAGATTGTACGCCTTAAAATATAAAAATATATAAAAAAAAAAATATAATAATATATAACACGTACATACCCCGATAATTCGAAGGTTAAATAACCAAGTGTATTATTATAAATAACAATAATCGTAATTAAAAACCGATTAATATTATTAATCTAATATTTACTTAACGTTTAAAAGGTACAGTTATAAATTCAACGATATAATATGGCTTTGTCTAAAACTACTCTTGCTCAGGGATTTTATAGTTTACATGTTATATGTAAGTACATTTAAGAACAACG